TATTATGAATGTGTGTCATATCTTCTATTACCCCATCTGAGAACAATTAAGTTTCCGTATTTACAGTACTACCAGAAATTATTGAGAATATAAAGATTGTAATTTTTTATACTTTATTCACTCATTACTCACGTATTAATGTGAGTATTAGCAGAACATAACTCCAGATTCAAAGACAGGTGAACAGTTAGTATTTTGTCAAGTCGCCATGGGCAGCAATGCAGGCTTCAATGCGGCGGGGCATACTACTGATCAAAGAAGTTAGAAAGTCGTGGTCCATGCTGTCCCAATATCGGACCACCTTTTCTTTCATTTCAGCAATATTTGTCAGATTTTTCTTATTGACACTTTCCTTCATAAATCCCCAAACATTTTCTATTGGATTTAGGTCAGGGCTATAGCTTGGCCAATCTAATAATGTCATATTTTGGGTCCGAAACCAGGCCTGTGAATGCTTTGAACGATGTTTTGGGTCGTCGTCCTGCTGGAAAATCCAAAAAATTTCAAAAACACGTGAGCAGATGGAAGTAAATGTCCCTCGAGAATATCTGTGTACCGCTCACTGTTCATATTCCCTTCAAATAAACAGAGAGGCGTTGCCCCTAACACAGATATGCCACCCCACACGTTAAATTTCGGACTGTACTTTGGGCGCTGATACAAAGGTTTTTTTAGTTTGTTTGGTCCAGAATTTCAGTGTATTAGGAAACAGCCACACAGAACTTTCATCTGAGAAAATCACATTGTCCCAGTTTAAATTTCTATGCTGTAAGCACCAGATCAACCTTCGCTCCTTTTGTTCAGGTTTCATGATCGGTGATGGAATTCCTCGACCTTTCTGCCAACCCATTGCATGCAGCTCAGTTCTAATTGTCTCCTTACAGACAGCCACAGTTCCTCTATCAATCGTATCCAGCCTTAAGTTTTCTAAACTCCTTCGTTTGCTTTTAGAAACAAGAATACCAAGCTGCCTCCTGTCACCGACAGTCAATTTTCTGGGCCTACCTGCGCGTCCCTGGTGATAAGTGCCATATCCATTTGCAATATGTTTCAAAACACGATAAACAGTGGACAAAGGGATGCCTGTTCTACTTGAAATCACTTTAGCTAATTTGATGTCCTTGCTATAATACTCTAAAATCAACTTCCTCTTCTCTAAATCATCCATACTGAGGATCACTGAAAATGTTGTCTGCTAGCAAGTGAGCAAAGGGGGATAGCTCTTCCCAAACTAATGAAAAAGGATTAACGGAGTTGTCTCTCTTGAATGAAACCAAGCACTTGATAGCTGGTCAAGGTTGTTTATACTAGAAATCCAATTAAACATATTCTAAAATTCTCAATAATTTCTGGTCATACGTATTTAGTGTCGCGAAACACCAGAACGGCACATAGAAGATCCGTCACATATGGCGATACAATTTATTGTTGAATATTGTTGTAACTGTTTTGCATTGTTTTTGTCCAGAGACAGTAGAAGTTCATGACAGCGGGTTTTAACATTTCTGAGTTGTTGGGAATGCACAACTTTATAATGTAAGCAGTGGAGTGGACATTACTATATTTTGATACTTTTGGAGTTTAGAGTATTTTAGAATTTTCTAGAACAGTTTTAGACTAAACATGCGTAGTTTAGAACTTTCCGGAATATATTTAGTCACTATTAGCGAACTTAGTCACTAAGTTTTTTAAAAGTAACGTGAATTTAAAAAAACGATCTGATAAATATACAACTCGGTTGTTCGGACAAGCTGCCGCATCATGCACAATATGCAAAAACTCATCCCATTTTCAAAATGTCAATATCTGTGATGACGGATTGAATCTACTCTGCCATGGCGTGAACCAATTGAACGTAATCCAATTTCAGGTGAAAGATCGTAATTGCTTCTATTGAGGTATATATTTTGTATAGAATGCCTCTCCTCAATCAATTCATCCAAGCATCAGATTGAAGGGCGTGCCTCTAAACAAACCTGTTGAAACATGTCTCATTCCTATAAGACATATTGCCTGTGTTTGTGGATTGAGTGAGTGAGTGAGTGAGGTTAGTAACGTTGCTTAGTTGTGTCAGCAAGATTCAAGCACAAGATTTTCTATGATTTAGATCCACGGCTCTGTCCCTGATTAAAATGCTTGTGTGCTCGCTCTGATTCCCTTTCAAGCAATGACAGTACCATATTCTTTCCCAGGTCGCTGGGGGTAGCCTAGTGGTTAAAGTGTTCGCTCCTCAAGACTAAAGTTCTGGTTCGATTCCCTTATACATACAATGAGGGAAGCCCATTTCTGATGTCCCCCGCCGTGATGTTGCTGGAATATTGGTACAAGCAGCGTACAACCATACTCTCTCACTCACTCGTTATTCAACACATAGATTCAATGCGCGAAACCAGGATGCAAGGGGATTCACTATTATTTACTTAAAACTACGAGGGAGAATTTTGCATTTATCATTTTCACCTTAACACACTTCTCTCTTATCACAAAACAATCATTGTAACAGTCTTACTGCACATGACTGCCTCCGTGGTGTAGTGGTTAGAGCGTCCGCCCGGAGAGCGGAAGGTCGCGGGTTCGATCCCCGACCGCGTCATACCAAAAGACGTTAAAATATGGTACTTGTTGGTCCCTGCCTGGCGCTCGGCATTAATGGGTACAACAAGGACTGGTCGGCTCGGAGTCAGTATAATGTGTCTGAGTGGGGTATTCATGCTTCACTGCGGCATGGTATCTCAGTGGGCTAGCACTATAAAACCAGCTTCAGACTGGGTTAGTACAAGCAGCCGCACATACACATACACACGCATGCACGTCGTCATATGAGCGAAATATCCCAAGTACGACGTTAAACTCAATTTCACCTCACCTCACCTCACCTTACTGCACATACACACAGTGATTTATTTATACTTTTCTCACAGTGTCATTAGAGGTCTAACCAGAAAATTTTGGTCTGCTATTGCCTGCTATCTTACACCAAATAAGATCCGGGTTAGAATTGATCTTCAGTAACCCATGCTTGTCGTAAGAAGCAACTAACGGGATCGGGTTGTCAGTCTGGCTGACTTGGTTGACACATGTCATCGTATCCCAATTGCGTAGATCGATGCTCATGCCTTTTGATCAATTGATTGTCTGGTCCAGACACAGTTATTTACAGACAAAACCAATGTAGCTGGAATATTACTGAGTGCGGCGTAAAACAACAAACAAACCAAATCAAACCTGATATCTTAACATGAAACACAACACTAGCACCACCAAAAGATTGTTCTTTGTGTGTTGTGTATGCGGCAGTCAGAAACAGCAAGACTACATCACAGCAACATAAATACAATCGAGTGAGTAGAAGGTACTCCAGTGAATGAAGTCATGAAAAACAAGCCCCACAATCCGTATGTGATGATGCCGAATTACCCTCAGATCCTGATCACAGGATACAATCATTCACAATCGTTAAGGTATTGTAGTGGACGGTGTGTTATCACAGCAATGCATGTAACTTGTTATAAAATATGGAACATGTCTGTTGATCCAAGGTATAGTTTATATGATGCAGATTGACTTGGGCCTTGTGTTTAGTTCTTACAATCATGCCTAATGGCAGTGAAGTTGGCATCAATACCAGTATGTGTTTTCATTTCACATATATCTGAAAACAATTATTTTACGAACTTGAAGAAATGTAAATGGTCACGATTGAACGTCAGCAGCCGCCGTATCTCCGAATGTGCCACAATACAGCTGATCCGCTCAGTATGTTGACTGTCACCCAGAACTATTCATCATTCATGACAACAATAGAGTACGTAAATGCTTTAAATGAGAACTGATTTTTCTGTGAGCTGAGTTAGAGTTATGAGTAATTAAGTTATGTTCACTGGAAATAACTTATTTTCCTTGATTGAGTGAATGTGAATGATCACTCTTTAATTTGCTCATTAAATTTGTAATTGACTGAGTTTGAATTTACTGAGTTATGTTCACTATGATTGTCTGAGTTCACTTTTGATGATCGAGTGTGAGTTATGACTGATATTAATTTGCTCACTCAAATTAATTGACTGATCTAATATAAACATCATAAAAGTATAAATATCTTCAAACATACTTTGTCATTTCCATAATGGCTCATGCCTAGTTATCACAAATGAACTCTAAGTTCATTCCCATTTCTCGTGGTGGTAGTTATTTGTGTGTTGATGGCTACATGTATATCACTTGTATTTCATTTTTAACCACTTTGCTTTTACGTATCACCCAAGTGTTTGTAAGCACATCGACCACCCATTGCTAGTAACAACTGATCCTTGGCGATACTCCCCAAAGCTGAGCTCTGTGTTTAAACTATTCTGCTTCCCAGGAACAACCAACTTATACTACTGTTTCCATGGGCATTTAGCACTTTCTGCATGTTCAATATGCAGTGTTCAATGTTCCTACATTCATCTGCTGTCTACTTATATACTTATGGAAATGGCGAGTGGACAACTTTCTGTTTGACTTTTAGTTTTACCAACAATCAAGTCAGTATCAGGTTTACCGCCAAACATCAAGTGATAGATTTGTCACAAGTGTACCATTGGCTCCACCATACTTTTACCCAGAATGTACATGCATTGAGTATGATATGTCGTTTGTAAGGTACTGCCTTTAGATGTGGATATATATTATCAAATTTGAAACCATCAAAATCAAGTGTTTGTTTATTTGTTAGGTTTAGGGTTCCACACATCCACATGATTACAGCAAGTAGATTTACAAGCCAGATTAGTTATGAAATTATGAGCAAAGACAACGACATTTACGATCGAATAATACATTACCAAAAATGACACTGGCCTGGCCACCTCATCCATTTAGTAGCCTCGTATGACAACTTAGGTTACTGTGGACCTATTGTAACCAGGAATAGAACAACCCGGACACAACACACTTAAACACATTGACAAGTCATTCAGTGATACCGACCATCTTTATCACAAGTGGTGTTGGCGATCTCAGACGCGTTTGTTAGGCAAAGCTCCCCTCCAGCCAATTTTCAGTTTCTTAGATAGCTCGGTCCTGATGTCTTTGTAGGATGGGTCATCAGCTCGGTTCCAGTTCTCTTCTGGGTCTTTCATATGATCATAGAGTTCAGCTGCCTTTACCTGGTCCCACATCGGTGTATAGATAGGCCTGCCTTTGAAGTTGATCCACTCTGTGTAGCGATACAGGTCTGTCTTCATTGTGTAACCCATGATGACATCACCATGGAGACCGTCTCCTCCTCGAGGGTACTGGGAGAAAGCAGCAGTTTTCCAGTTTTTCATTGTTGGGTTTGTCATGAGTGGGACCATACTAGTACCTTCCGTGCACAGACTGATGTTTTGAGAGTTTGGTGGACAGGTTTCAAGTTTAGGAAGTTCTGCAGCATCAACTAGAGTCGGGTACAGATCGACAAATTCTGTCAGGTGCTCTGTTACCACACCTTTATCAGTGACTCCAGGAACGTGTATCATCATGGGAGCATGGGTGGCGTCTTCGAAGTTCGTGTGCTTCTCCCATTCTGAATGTTCGCCCAACTGCCACCCATGATCTCCCCAGAAGGATATGATTGTATTGTTAGAAAGTCCTAAGTTGTCGAGCTCTTGAATAACTTTTCCCAGCTCATAGTCAATATAGCTGATACAGCTGTAGTAGGCCTGTCTCAGTTCAAGGGTCAGTGTTGGTGGAAACGTGAAGTTTATGGCACCGATATCGGATAGGTTGTATTGCTTGATGTCTTTGAAAATCCCAAAGTCTTTAAAGTCATGCCAGGCAACAGCTGGCATTCCAACTGGAGCATAATAGTTTGGTGCTGGTCGAAGACTCTCCAAGGGATAGAAAGTATTGAAACGAGCAGGATAGTTCCATGGTGTATGCGGTTTATGGAAACCTACTGCTACAAAGAAAGGTTGCTCACCTGACTTTGCTCTAGGTGCGAGTTCCTGGAGTGTTTTTATTGCATGGTCCGCAATCATCTGATCCTCAAGTGGTTGGACCTTCTCTCTTTCTTCTGATACTGCTTCACATAACAGGTCATGTCCTCCATATTTGTCTCCTGCATGAAAATATGGATCCGTCCAGGATACGGGATCATCTCCTCCTGATGAACTGCCCGGATGAAAGATCTTCCCCATACCGATAGTTCGGTATCCATTACGCTTGAAGTATTCAGGCAGTGTTGTAAAGTTACCCCCAACTTGTCGGAAGTAAGGTCCAATGTCCCATATGTGACTAGTGTCAGGCCGCCTGCTGGTAAGAAGGGCAGTTCTACTGGGGCTGCATAAAGCCTGAGACACATAGGCTCTCTTCAGAACAAGGGATCTGCTGGCTAAGGCATCGAGAGCAGGTGTATGCATCTTGGGATGGACAGGAGACGGCATGTCTGGACCCACATAGGCATTGAGGTTTGGTCTCATATCATCTGACACCAGAAACAAAACATTTTTCTTTGCACCCACAAATGCAATCAGTATCAGTTGTAACACTGGTATGTGTATCTTCACCATCATGTCAGACTGGGAGAAAGCGTCATTATGTGTGAATATGTCAAGCTGCGAAGTATTCATATGTAGCAAAATAAATCAATGGAAGACAGTGTGTTAGTGACAGTTGTTATTGATCGAAACTTTACAATTTCGTTGAAGCATAACAGCCAATATGTCTAATGACTTGACATGTTAAACGTATTAATATACTTTGATTGTCTTGAACGTCGTTATTTCTGAACAGATTCAATCTTGATTGAATATAAACTCTTTTACATTTAGGTTTCGCCTCTCTGTAATTACACATTTGTCAGCTAAATGTCCACCAACACGTGGCGGTGGAGTAGCCCAATGGTTAAAGCGTCCGCTCGTCACGCTGAAGACCCAGGTTCGATTCCCCACATGGGAACAATGTGTGAAGCCCATTTCCGACGTCCCCCGCCGTGACATTGCTGGAATATTGTTAAAAGCGGCGTAAAACCACACTCACTCACTCACTCACTCCACCAATCACGTACATATGTGAATGTATCATACATACGATAAAACAATCCGGGAAACTCACCATCGACAAATATGGAAATGAGGTCATCTTGGTGTATCTATTTCTAAAAATAGACGTCTCCCTGCTCTATCAGCAAACATTCGTAGCAAGTTCCCGATACGTGTTTCTGTAAATAAACCAAGGTGCAGAGAGGGAACACACAAAGTCGGATATGATAAGCCCGACACTGGGTGCTTGGAAAACAGCATTATTCTACCTCATGTAAGCATGTTCATCTTTGATTGGTTGACGCGACCTTGAACAAATTACCATGTGTGCCCGGTGCACGGCCGTACACCGCCCAAGCAGGGTATAAATCTTTGCGAGGGAGGATAAATCATTTATACCCCGTCCCATGGAAAACAACATGCATCTACGGCAGTCGGTGAACCGTGAACCAGTGGTTCGGATCGACTAGTCGGTAACATGTCAGTAAAATATAGGATTGAATTTCAGTTTGCTTTGATGTTATATTTACATAATGAGAGATTTAAACATTCGGTAAGATAAAATCGTTGTAGCATTGTAATTTGGGGTATACGGAGTTTTATGCGTTCCTCGTTAGGTTGTATCCATCGAGCAGGAGGGGCGAATAAAACCCCATATACCCCTCATCACAATGCTACGAGGGGCGATCAAACAGTTTGTAGAGTCACCAAGAAAACGATACAAATGCAGTTATTGCTATGTTTTATTTTTCTACATATTATCTGTCAAACTCAAGCAATTTGGTTTTGCTATGTTCCAGTCTCACGATCCCCATTTTATTTGACCTTTTATCTTGGTACCCTCCCAAAACGCAAAATCCACAAAATAGGAAACAAAATATGCAAGAAATATTTTGTGTTAGAGATTGATAGAAGTCCCATAGAATCACACTTGGGTATTAAAGTTCATAAAAAAGCAATTTGAAATTACAATCGCTTGTTAAAGTGACCTCTTAATGTTGACTGAAAGAGCTTGGTTTGGAGACACTACCCATCCCCTTTCAGATGACGTAATCATAAGGACATAACTTATTCTAATGTTTTCACTTATTCATACATGATGCCAAGGGTTCAAACTAAACACAAAATGGTCACACAAGTGTCAGCTCACAATATATTGTAAATAGTACGAGCTTGAATATCTGGACACAATGTTTTAGAAAAATTGAAATGGGGGTGTCCTTAACAAACCATCCTCGACTAAATATAAAATAAGCAATCCAAATCTTTGACTGTTGATTATGACGGGAAGTCATCCAATACTATAAGGAACATATTTTATATGATATAGTCTGAGGGCATACCATTATCCAAGAGGTACCAAATGACAGATCGTTTTTCATTTTCTGCAGTTTTGGTAGAAATATTATACCCCAATGTGTTGTGATGCCTAATATCTCGTTAACCACATTACCCACATATGTGAAATTTTGGATATGACTTTGCTAAAGATTCCTTAAAAATAACATAGGAGCTTTTCAAACACTGGACATCGAGAATACAGTTAGTCTACGTACTTTTTGATCGACCCGCGTACGTCTTATATTATCTTAGTACCAAAAAGCAGGCAACGGATCTGAATGGTGGCATGGGTGACAGTTGTTGTTCAGGTCAGCGGAAAGATGGTGATACTAGTGTTCTTACATCTTCCAGACAAGAAACAGACAACCTTCGAACGAGCTTTCTCGCTTGTCAATGATACGGCAATGACTAGATGTTTCTAGGTACATCATTAAAAATATAATTTTATTAATCTTATTACAGATCGACTTCGAATTGGCCGCGAAGAATGCGCCAACAGTGGTTTTTCTGGTGTTGGAATGGACAGGATGTATTTTCTTCCATTTCACCCAGTGCATCTGGAGACTGACACAAAACCTGGGACTGCAGGTTGACTACGGCAGCATCCCCGAAATGAAACAGTTCGTCAGTGCTGTATTGCCTTTGGTGTCATTAGCAGATGTAAGTATTCACCATGTTCCTATCTAAATGCATATCAACAATTGTAGAAACAATTTTTAAGTATCTATTTATACATACTAAGTTGTTATACATTATTGCCATATATCAAATGTAATTCATATAATTTATGTTGCAGGTGGAAGACGTGTGGCTACAAGCACTTGCCGATATGTCCCAAGATCAACGATGCAATAGTCTGGCAGATTATGTCACCTCCATCTGGATAAAGGTCAATTTCCCGATGAGAACGTGGAACCACTATATCACAAAGGGTCCAAGAACGAACAACAACCTTGGAGGTTGGCATGGGCGCATGAAGAAGTTGGTAGGCAAGGCTCATCCAATTCTTTTCGAATTCATTCGATTCCTACTGAGTGAGCAGAAATGGACTTGGTTCAATACGACGCCGGTCAGTGGGAAGTTGGATTTCAACCAGATGACTGTATATCAGTATGCAGACAGTGCAGCACATGCTCTTAAATTTGAATTTTTACATTAATAAAGTTGACATATTGCTAGATGATATATTGTAAAATTTAGTATTTTAATGATTAAAAATAAAGTTGTAAAGTGGGTTATTATAGATCCTGCAAAAAAGTGATACGGTGATAAACTGTTATTTTGTACTTATGTATGAATGAAATGAACATGAACACGCAAAAAGTCGCCTTCCTGCGAATACACCGTTGTTTGTATTGATGAATATTTGTATTACTGTTGTACTGCTGTAACCAGATCTATTGTATGTCATACAGTCCCTGTGATTGTACTACTACCGCACTGTGAGCTGCCATTGTAAATACTTTACAGTAATTGATGTGTGAATCCAGTTCATTTGTGGCAGAGTCAACTTTGTGCTGTGAATAAACATGTGAATCTTTTAAAGTTGATTATCATATTTTAATGAGACATACAAGCTCATAAAAAACTAAATCTAACCATTTTATCAATTATTTTATACTCAACACTCAACATTAGCCCTCTAAACATCAATGTTGTCTCAAGTATAATCTATTTCAGCATTACTTTTAGGTTTTACCATAGATACTCTTTTAATCATTTGTTGTAAATATCATTATCTGCATACGTTATTTATCCATACTGCAGACGTAGACACTGGCTGTGTCGCCTGTGCATGCAGCAGCTCAGGTCATACCAACCTGGTATGTTGTCATTGTTGTTTCAGGTATATCTACCATTGTGTATTATGTAATATCTATCACATGGGTAATGTTTACATTATCTGTGCTATGTAGTATAATTAATACATGTGTATCATTCATGTGCATCATAAGGTAATGTGTGTTACCATGGGTATTATTCATTTATCTGTGAAGTTGTCATGGTAATATGTTGGCAACAGTATTTATGATTAGTTTTATAATATGCAGAAATCACTTGTTTCTTATATATTATATACATATATACATGTACGTGTGTGTATTTAATTAAGTATTTCTATATATCTAAGTAAATCTATATATCATAGTGCATATGCATTATATGCATGCAACGTCTAAAGTATATATATAACATGTGATGTGATTCGTGAATTGCTGTAAACTTTTATTGTTATTCTACCATGTTTCAGGCTCCTGTTCTTTATTGCAAACTATGTAATACAAGTCCATCACCTCACACCCTAGTGGCTTTGTGGTGCTTGTCAGACATAAGACACATTCTTAATGCAAATGTTAATACCATAGCATTCTTTGGTTTCACATATTTCCATGTGACTTCTTGTTTCAAGTAGGAAGTCGACAAGTTTCAGCTATAAAAACTAAATATACTCTGTCTTTCTTTGAGACAATTTTTCAGGAGCATTCATTAATGAGTTTTCCGTGACATAATTTAAAAAAAACCCAATTTACAATCATAACAAAATTATGTGCATAAGATGCATCTATAGTCTCATTAACCTACAAACGCACTGGTGTCAAATTCCGAATTTCTGTTCGTTAAATTCGCTGCCTCTCAGATCAAGAGTAAGCTGCTTCAATCCCCGTTAAGCCTGTTTTCTAATAACATTCTGTCTGCTTCATGCGTGGGATTTTAATGCAGGTTGTGACCTGGAAGTATGCCTGCCAGTCACCCACATGTAGTTTTACAGTGGCTTCCTGTGGGGACAGCTGTGAGAGTCAGCACTGTTACATGTGGTACGACTTTTGAAAGTATCAACATTTCAATCACATTTGCGTATTTCATTGTCACAGTTAATATCTGCCATCTATCTTTACTTTAATGGTCTGTGCATTTACGGCGTTTGAAACATAATCTTGTTACTAGTTCACAACCTCGCCATTCTTATATACTTCCGCATGTATATCCTGAGCAGATTCCAGGGATCTATATGTTGATAGTACTTTCTGAACAACATGTTTGGAGAAGTGGAACAGCACGATGTTTCCTCAAACAAAACTCCTCCAATATCGAGAGGTCCGTAGCTGTCTCTCTACATGTAGAAGTTATGTCGCTTCCATTTCAGAAATTATCCGAAATATCAACTGCATCTAATGTAAAAGGCGATG